GAAAACCACCAAATCTATCACACATCAAGGTCTTTGGATGTGCTGCATATGCATATCAAATTGAGGGAAAATTAGACCCCAGGGCTACCAAGTGTGTTATACTTGAATACCTTGAAAGGGTTAAAGGGTACAGGTTATGGATACTTGTGTAAAGATCATTAACAGCAGAAATGTGGTGTTTAATGAATTTGAGATGCCATGCCTGAAAAATAAAATTGATAAATCAGATTTGGCTTAAAAGAGTACTTCCCAAAATGAGGTGAAGTTGGCAAGACTAAGTCATAACCAATTTGAAATAACTGAACCAGAACATGAACAGCCTAGTGAAAGTGTAGAAAACACTGATGAAGGTGAGTTATTCCACCCCAAACTGAAACTGAAATTGTGGCATCTAATAACCCAGGAATTAAAACTAGTACCCAAGATTATCAATTACTGAGAGATATGGAAAGGAGACAGATTAAACCTAACCCCAGGTATGAAATAAATAATCTGACAGAATTTGCCTTATCTCTGGTGAAAACTTAGAACATGCTGAGCCCTTATCTAATAAAGAAGCTATGAACAATTCTAAGTCACAAAATTGGAAATAAACTATAAAACAAGAAATAAATCTCTTATCGAAAATAAGACATGGAAACTTGTAAAGAAACCAAAGAATCAAAGAGTGGTTCAATGTAAGCGAATCTTTAAGCAGAAAGAAGGGATTTCACCATCTGATTCTTTGAGTTATAAGGCAAGGCTTGAAGCCAAAGGATTCACTCAAAGGGAGGGAGTTAACTACAATGAAATTTTCTCACCTGTGATCAAATATAAAACTATAAGACTAATACTTGCTCTAATTGTTCAATTTAATTGGAAGCTTGAGAAATTCGACATCAAAAGTGCCTCTTTACATGGGGAACTGGAAGATGACATTTATATGTGTCAACCACAAGGTTTCGAAGAAAAAGGAAAATCTAATTTTGTTTGTAAATTGCAAAAATCCCTGTATGGACTCAAACAAAGTCCAAGAGAGCGGTATATAAGGTTTGACACGTGTTTTGAAAATTGGTTTAGAATAAGTGAATATGATCATTGCTTATATTACAATAACTCTAAAACTCACAATGAGATATATCTACTCTTGTATGTAGATGATATGCTTCTGGCTAGCCCCAATAAAGCTGAGATAATGAGGCTGAAAAACCTATTAAAGTCTGAATTTGACATGAAGGACTTAGGAAAAGCCAAGAAAATTTTAGGGATGGCGATAAAAAAAATAGGCAAGAAAATATGCTAACTATATCACAAGAACCTTACCTACACAAAGTAATAACAAAGTTTGGCATGAAAGAAGTTAAGTCCGTTAATGTATCCCTAGCTGCTCATATGAATCTCTCTATTTTGCCCAGTGTCCTAAAACTGAATCTAAAATTAAAAATATGACAAATATCCCTTATGCTAACGCTATTGGATTTGTTATGTTTTCCATGATCACAACTCAACCAAATTTAGCATATTCAACAAATTTTCTGAGTAGGTTTATGTCAAATCTTGGGAAACCACACTAGGCTGAGTCAAAGTGGTTGCTTAGATATACAACAAGGAGGCAAAGTGTAGGATTAATGTTTAAAAGGAATCAGAACCATTAACTCTTAAGGGTTATGTGGATTTTGATTTCGCTGGAGATAAAGATCAAAGAAAATAAACAACTGACTTCTTTTTTTAGCTATTAAGGGTTATGTAGATTCTGATTTCGCTGAAGATAAAGATCAAAGAAAGTCAACAACTGCCTTCTTTTTTACACTAGGTGATAATTGTATTACTTGGAAGTCTCAACTTCAATCCATTGTCACTTTGTCCAACACTGAAGCTGAATACATGGCAATTACTGAATGTGTAAAAGAATGCATATGGCTTAAAGGAATCCTAACTGAACTGAATTTTCTAAATACTCCACCTGTCATACTAACTGACAATCAAAGTTCACTACTTTCAAGCAAGAATCCTATCTATCATGAAAGATCAAAACATATTGAGGTGAAGTACCATTTCGTAAGAGAAAAATTTTCATCAGGTGAAATAGTTTTTGAGAAAATTCATATTGACTTTAACCCTGCTGATATGGACACTAAAATACTGCCTGTTAATAAATTCAGATCCTGATTATCACTCCTTAATATTGATACAGGTTAATTTTCTATGCAGGTACTTGGGCAATGATGTAGGGTTTGGTGTCGTCACTTGCATTATAGCAACAAGAGAGTGTGTATGGTTTGAGAACCAAGGTGAAGAATTGTGGAATTGTGTTCCTCAAACCGCGTTTTTATAAGTGGAAATGCATTTTTATCCTTCCTGCACCCAATCTGGATAGGTGGCACTCATACATTGGCTGATACTTGGTCACACCAATTGTGCATCTTTTGGCCATTTTTGGACCTTTGATCCCATCTAACGGCTAAGATTTTGTCTCTCAACCATTATTGGGTTTGGAGACTTCTTCGAGACTCTTCTCAATGCATTCAGTCTTTTGGTCTTTTGAGTCCCTTTTGAGTTTTTCTCTCTCTCCAACGGCGTCTATTCTTCTTCTTCTTCTACTTCAATACTTCAATCTATTGATTGATAGTGAATTTTGTAATGATATTACAGTATCTGATAATGGTAGAACATGTAGTGCAATGTTTTAGGTCTGATTTGTGGTTGGTAAATCTGTACTAAGTTCTTGTCAAGGATTTGTCTAGTCGAGTTAGGTTAGGGTTTGTGTTTTGCGAAATCCTTGTGGATCGATGACCATACGGGTGCCTAATTTGGTTTACTCACTCCGGTTGTACACTCTCTCTTGAAGGTTTTTTGCATTGCGTCGGGCTTACCTCTGAGCCCCAATTAGGCCGTGTTTGGCTGATCTGGGTTAGCAATCCTTTGTGTTTGATTATTTTCTTGCACTGCCCTTTACTATTTTTCTACTGTTGTGGGCTTTGGGTCAATATACCCAACAACATGATATCCATTTGGAGAACCAAAGAATCTTACCTGAGGCATTTGCCAAGAGTCTGGTATATCAAGCCTTGAAGCTGCAAAAATCTAAAACAAGCGATACAGTTAACGCCCCTAAATCTAATACAGCCCTCGCGCGCGCGCGCACATATATATATATATATATATATATAGAGACAGAGAGAGAGAAATACCTTTTTAGAGGGATTCATAAGTAGTTTAGAAACTAATAGTATTTTTTTTGGGTTGGGGTGTATGTCTGCCAAGGGGATGTATAGCAGATATTAAGTAATTAGTAATAATTAATCAAAATATATATCCAAAAACAAGAGAATATTCTAGTCCCCTCATAAGTATTATGACTATGCTGCAGTTTGAAAGCAAAACAGTAACTAGATTAAAAATTTATTTACCCTCTCCTATGATTTCATTTATATATGATTACATTTCCTATTTTAGAAAATTGATAAGTCTAATCCACTAGTTGCTGAATTCACTATTCAAGTTTGTTTGGATACTCTTTCGGATATCAGTAACATTTATTTACTCATGCTCTAGAAAGGAAGCTCTTTCTTGTACAATTAATCTTACTTCTCTCATGCTTTAGCAATTGCTATCGCTAGAACACTAGCATAACGTGTATGATGTATCAGTGTAGGGCCAATCCGTCCATAGTCTTGAAGATGTAGAAACCAACACGAAACCCTATTGATGTGCATACATCAATAGTGTTTTATCCCTTTCTCCCAATAAGTAGATTTATCTGGTTTATTAGTAAGAGACAATGCAAGAACAGAGAGTTATGTAATTGATGGTAAAATGTCAGTAACACCAGAAGCCACTATTAAAATTTTGTGCCTTATAGATAGCTTGACAAATTGTAAAATTATCTACAAGGCAATGGTTCATACTCACCAAATGCTTTTGGTCAACAGTCCACAAAAACAGAAAATGTACCCCAGTTGAACTATCCACAAAGCTGCAGTTTCTATCAAGAATGTAAAATATATCGCACGTCTTTGAGGAAACGAAGCAGACTGATGTAGGACAATGATAGGGATTATCTCTTTTTATTCTTCTTTCTTGTTTAGTATTTATTTTTCTTTCTTGATTAGAATAAGATTTCTTCTCTCTTTTAGATTAGGATTATGTTTCCTTTTAGATTTTAGTTTTCTTTCCTTATATTGGTAAAATTAAGGAATTATTTTGCCCATATAAACATAGGCTTTGTATACTTTTCAATTAACCTATTCATTATAATGAAATTATTCTTTGTGGCCGGTGATGGGTTGTCGTTGATCCTGTTTGGATGGTTTAATGATGGGTTGATGTTGACCCTGTTTATTTGGGTCATTGAATGTCGAAACATAGGGTTGTAGTCCCTATGATCTTCTTTAGGGCACTGGGCGAAAAGTTTGATACCACTTGTGAGTTGTTGCTCTTGATCTGATGGTACACAAGAAGTTCTAAGTCACTCCGGTCAAAATGGTCATCAGCTGGAGCTAATAGCCATCCATGTCTAAATTCAATGATGAGGGTAGCTAAGCTCTGCTGAACATCTTGAAGAGTTGTTTCAACCCCTATATCTATGGCCATCTCCACTAGTACTGTTCTTAATCATCATGTCATGTAAAATCCTTGCTCTAATACTAATTTTGGTGCGTAAGCGAAATTGAAATTTTTGAAATAAGAATAAAATGGAAAGATCCAAAAATATGTAACAAACATTTTCAATATGATGAATAGGTAAATTGAAAAGTGTACAAAATCTTTGTTTATATAGGCAAAATAATTTCCTAGATTTACCAATAGAAGGAAAGATATTAACATCCTCAAAGAAATCAAAATCCTAATCTGAAAGAAAGAAGAAATCCTATTCTAATCAATAAACAGAAGAAATAATATTCTAAACAAGAAACAAGAAAAAGAGAGAAAAACTCTATTATAACAAGATATCATACTATTAATAAGTTTACTTATGTTCTATTTATAATAGGATTGTCCTACATCATAGATGTACCCACCATTTTTGTGCTTGACCTTTCCAGTCTGAACCCCACTGATGCCTAAGTTTCTCCCTGACGTCTGGTGGAAAATCATATGTCAACCAATGTGGCACCTGCAGCAGGACTCCTCTATAAGAATGGCTCAATAATGCAGATTTGAGAAAAGACAGCTACAAACAAAGGATCTGGAAAGATCCAGAGTATAATAAAACAAAACAGAAAGCTAACTCACAAAAAGCTGTCAATGGAAACTTTTATTGTCATTAAAATGATTTAAAATATTTGTTGATAACAAATTCAGCAAGCAAAAGATACAAATAGATTTCTTTCTTTCATCCATATTTAAAGCTGGGATAAAAACAAACCATGCAATTGCTTTAAATTCCCACGTCAGAAATTCATTTTATGAATGATTTCCATTGGTTAACCCGAAGAACAAATAAAAAATAAGCACACCCTGTCCTATTTCCTCAATAGTGGTTTGCTATTTTCTAGAATTTTGCAGTTATATCTAAAGGGAATTGGTAATTAAAGTAACTTAAACACTATGAACATGGATTTTAGTTTTTCAAGAACTTGCATATGCACGACCTAAAGTATGAATCATGAATACAGTTTTGTATTGATGTGCTTTGCAAATCAACATTTTCGATGCACAATACTTTTGAAAGTCTCATGAGAATCAAAGATTTCCATGGAAGGTTCACTACAAAATTTAAGACACATCCGTGCATGCATACAAGCATATGGAGTTAACGAAGGTTCCTGCCTTTGCATGTACCACCAAAATTACCCTCCTTGGCTAGGCCTCTAAGTACATTATGGCATCATTATTAGTCCAACAAAATCAGTCAGCTCCTTCACTCCCTACCTTCATTCATCCTTATCAATTTCCCTTTCCCAACCCGCATCACATCATCTCGCATTCCTCGAAATCTCACCACCTAGCTCATTCCACTTGCCTGCTTCTCTTCTTCTCGTTGCCCTCCAGGTCCATTGCAAATTTGTAATCCTATATGTTAACCGTCACTCTTCCCATTCCAATACCAGCCCACATTTTCCTGAAAATACAGTTCCTTGCTATACATCTTTTAATAATTAATATGCACATATGAACTCATCCACGTACAGTTTACAAGGAGAGGATAGGCTAGCTGATGGATGTTCTAGCTATGAGTGGAGAAGAGTAGAAAAGATATGCTCAATTATGCTGATTTGAAGTTCTGCAGCCAATACAATGTGTTTCATTTTTATTTTTTTTATTTTTTAAATCGGCTTTGAGAAAGGGCCTTAGTTAAATTATGAATCCCCTTTTATTCATTAAGCACATATTAATTTCATTTTGTAAACTATAGACCAGTAAAACTTAATACAACTAATAGTAATGCTACAGGTCAACTTTACTTCCATACCTCGGCAATAATATAAGCTGAACTAACTCCAGTTTCTTCTCTTAATTCTCTGATAGCAGCACTTTTTGGATCCTCGTTCTCGTCAATTCCACCCTATAAATTAGACACTTCACAAAAATTAGTATATACACATGGATATAATATAGGATAAAGAAAAAAAGTTCATGCTAGTTCAAGAACCCACTAATTCTGCAGAAACATTGATTTATGATTCAAAATATTCCAATAGACAGCGGCAGAAGAACAATTTTCTTATTAGCATCTCAGATTAAGTACAGGACAAAGTAACATGAAAACGTCTTCACATCTAATGACACAATTTTGAGAAAAATCTGAATATTACATCGCTATAATATAAATCCATAACTGCCATATACTAATAACATATCGAACTTTTTACACGAAATCTAATACCAAATACAAGTGTGGAGTTGTGTTTCTCAAACCGCGATTTTATAATTGGAAATGCATTTCCTTCCTGCACTGGGTAAACAATCATTTGTGTTTGATTATTTTCTTGCACCGTCTTTTATCACTTTTCTGTTGTTTGCAGGTTTTGGGTAAACAATCCTTAACGAAGTCTATATAATCCGGTTTACAAATTTACATGCTTATTGATCTGTGGATTAATTGCTGATATTGCATATTCTGTATTATTGATTTATCTGACATAGAAGCATGTGTAGGATTCATTATACAGAGCATTTTATATTTGTTGTGTAATCTTGAATTATCAACACGTTGACTGCTTGTGTTTACTGTTCTAACTGTGCAACTTAGAGTAGTTAATTTCATTATTGATCAGTCTTTCTTTAGATTAGTTAGGAAGTTTTTTTCAGCACTTGAGTGATCATACATTAAGAGATCACTCATGTCCACCAACAGTAGTCACCCTTTTACAGAACCATGATGGGTTCTACGGTCTAGTTAAATTCATTATGTGATCAGTCTTTCTTTAGATTAGTTAGGAATTTTTTTTCAGCACTTGCGTGATCACTCATGTCCACCAACAGTAGTCACCCTTTTACAGAACCATGATGGGCTCGAAGGTCGAATTGTCTCAATTCGATGGAAAGAGGGATTACTCCATCTAGAAGCAGAAAATGAGGATTATATTGGCTCAACAAAAAGTTGCTAAAGCCCTGGATGACCCTAATACATATCGTGCTGAACTTAAAGCCAAGCCTGACGAGATTCTTGAATTAAATGAAATTGCTTATAGTTCAATTATCTTGCATTTATCAAATGGATAAAACTATTTGTACAAATTTGGTTGAAAAAATAGTTTACTCACTCTCACATGCATGCGGGTCCCCTTTGCATTAAAAAGTTTGGCCATGTGGTCCTTACCATTCTATTGTAAGAGTGTGTAAAACTTTTAATACAAATGTGGTACATGTAGCATAATCCTTATCAAATAATGTAGTAAGACAAGTAGGGAATTCTAAAACTGCTAGGGACTTATGGGCAGTCTTAGATGACTTGTTCTTGGCCAAGATTTTACCAAATAAAATTTACCTTCTGAAAAACTGTTTAGTTTTAAAATGGGTGACCAGAAAGACCTAAAAGCTAATTTGAGTGATTTTAGCATACTGGTGAAGAGTATTGATCATCATGATAAAAAAAATTTGAAGATGAGGATCTTGCAGTGATCCTTCTAAACTCTTTACCTGATTCTTATATGAATATTAGAAATGCTATAAAATACTCACAAACAATCGTAACAAATGCCCTAAGATTCAGGGAATTGGAAGTTTAAAAAGAATTAAGACCTAATTCAAGAGAGGAGAGTTTATTTGTGAGAGGGAGAACTGAAAAAATGGAGAATTATTCACAGAATAAAATATTCAAATCTAAATCCAAAGCTAGATCTAAATCAAGAGACAAAAGCAACAAAAAATACTATCACTATGGAAAACTTGGACATTTCAAAAGATATTGCTTTGAATTAAAGAAGTTGAAAGAACACAGCAACATTGAGTAAAACAATGCTGCTGTGAGTTCTCATCTTGACAGCCTTCTTGTAATAACTGTGACAAATGAAGAAACAGACACTGACCGGAAACTAGACCTGGATGTACTTTTCACATGTGCCCAAATAAATCTTGGTTTCATAACTACAATGAGATAGAACCTAGAAAAGTATATATAGGTGACAATAATTCACAAAATGTTCTTGGAACAGGTGACATTGCAATCAAAATGTACGATGGCATTGTCAAACAGATTAAGAATGTGAGACATGTCCCAAATCTAAAAAGAAATCTCATTTCGTTAAGAATTCTTGAAGATGAGGGACATACATTCAAATCTGAAAAAAACACTTTGAAAATCATGAAATGATCTCCTGTAGTTATGAAGGGAACAAAGAGGAATAGCCTGTACTACTTAATGGGGGAAATTGTTAATCCCAAGGACTCAAAATCTTTAACTATAACTGAAAGTAAATTTGAATAATAGCATTGTAAGATGGGTCATATAGGTAATAAGGGCCTAAAGTATCTTAATGATCAGAAACTGTTTGGAAAGGATAAAGTAGAGCCCCTTAACTTTCGTGAAACATGTGTGCTAGGAAAGTCTCATAGAGTAAGTTTTGAGACAGGGTCACATACAAACAAATAGACTACTAGAATATGTCCATGCAGATTTATGGGGGCCAGAAAGCCACCCAACATTTGGTGGGAATAAATACTTTCTTCCTATAATTGATGATTATTCTAGAAAGGTCTGGACCTACCCTTTGAAATCTAAAACTGAAACTTTTCAAAAATTTAGATTGTGGTTAAAGATGGTTGAAAATTAATTGCACAAAAATTGAAAACCTTGAGGACAGATAATGGGTTAGAATTCTGTAACACTGAATTTGATAATTTTTGTAAGCAAAAGGGAATAATTAGATATAGAATCGTTAAGCATACACCCCAACAAAATGGGGTTGCTGAGAAAATGAATAGAACTCTCATGAATAAGGTAAGATGTATGCATATTAGTTCTGGGCTTGCAAAAGGATTTTGGGCTGAAGCTTTATGCACTACTACCTACCTAATAAACAGGTCTCCTTGCAGTTCTGTAGAGCTTAAAACTCCACCGGAATTATGGACGGGAAAACCACCAAATCTATCACACATCAAGGTCTTTGGATGTGCTGCATATGCATATCAAATTGAGGGAAAATTAGAACCCAGGGCTACCAAGTGTGTTATACTTGGATACCTTGAAAGGGTTAAAGGGTACAGGTTATGGGTACTTGTGTAAAGATCATTAACAGCAGAAATGTGGTGTTTAATGAATTTGAGATGCCATGCCTGAAAAATAAAATTGATAAATCAGATTTGGCTGAAAAGAGTACTCCCCAAAATGAGGTGAAGTTGGCAAGACTAAGTCATAACCAATTTGAAATAACTGAACTAGAACATGAACAGCCTAGTGAAAGTATAGAAAACACTGATAAAGGTGAAGTTATTCCACCCCAAACTGAAACTGAAATTGTGGCATCTAATAACCCAAGAAATAAAACTAGTACCCAAGATTATCAATTAGTGAGAGATAGGGAAAGGAGACAGATTAAACCTAACCCCAGGTATGAAATAAATAATCTAACAGAATTTGCCCTTATCTGTGGTGAAAATTTAGAACATGCTGAGCCCTTATCTAATAAAGAAGCTATGAACAATTCTAAGTCACAAAACTGGAAATAAACTACGAAACAAGAAATAAATCTCTTATCGAAAATAAGACATGGAAACTTGTAAAGAAACCAAAGAATCAAAGAGTGGTTCAATGTAAGCGAATCTTTAAGTAGAAAGAAGGGATTTCACCATCTGATTCTTTGAGTTATAAGGCAAGGCTTGTAGCCAAAGGATTCATTCAAAGGGAGGGAGTTGACTACAATGAAATTTTCTCATCTGTGATCAAATATAAAACTATAAGACTAGTACTTGCTCTAATTGTTCAATTTAATTGGAAGCTTGAGCAATTAGACATCAAAAGTGCCTTTTTACATGGGGAACTGGAAGAGGACATTTATAAGTGTCAACCACAAGGTTTCGAAGAAAAAGGAAAATTTGATTTTGTTTGTAAATTGCAAAAATCCCTGTATGGACTCAAACAAAGTCCAAGAGAGCGATATATAAGGTTTGACACTTGTTTTGAAAATTGGTTTAGAATAAGTGAATATGATCGTTGCTTATATTACAATAACTCTAAAACCGACAATGAGATATATCTACTCTTGTATGTAGATGGTATGCTTCTGGCTAGCCCCAATAAAGCTGAGATAATAAGGCTGAAAAACCTATTAAAAGTCTGAATTTGACATGAAAGACTTAGGAAAAGCCAAAAAAATTTTAGGGATGGTGATAAAAAAAAATAGGCAAGAAAATATGTTAACTATATCACAAGAACCTTACCTACACAAAGCAATAACAAAGTTTGGCATGAAAGAAGCTAAGTCCATTAATGTACCCCTAGCTGCTCATATGAATCTCTCTTCTGCCCAGTGTCCTAAAACTGAATCTAAAATTAAAAATATGACAAATATCCCATATGCTAACGCTATTGGATTTGTTATGTTTTCCATGATCACAACTCAACCAAATTTAGCATATTCAACCAATTTTCTGAGTAGGTTCATGGCAAATCTTGGGAAACCACACTAGACTGAGTCAAAGTGGTTGCTTAGAAAGTGGTTGCTTAGATATACAGCAGGGACGCTAAGTGTAGGATTAATGTTTAAAAGGAATCAGAGCCATTAACTTTTAAGGGTTACGTGGATTCCGATTTCGCTGGAGATAAAGATCAAAGAAAGTCAACAACTGCCTTCTTTTTTTAACTATTAAAGGTTATGTAGATTCTGATTTCGCTGAAGATAAAGATCAAAGAAAGTCAACAACTGCCTTCTTTTTTACACTAGGTGATAATTGTATTACTTGGAAGTCTCAACTTCAATCCATTGTCACTTTGTCCAACACTAAAGCTGAATACGTGGCAATTACTGAATGTGTAAAAGAATGCATAAGGCTTAAAGGAGTCCTAACTGAACTGAATTTTCTAAATACTCCACCTGTCATACTAACTGACAGTCAAAGTTCACTACTTTTAATCAAGAATCTTGTCTATCATGAAAGGTCAAAACATATTGAGGTGAAGTACCATTTCATAAGAGAAAAACTTTCATCAGGTGAAATGGTTTTTGAGAAAATTCATATTGACTTTAACCTTGCTAATATAGACACTAAAATACTGCCTGTTAATAAATTCAGATCCTGATTATCACTCCTTAATATTGATACAAGTTAATTTTCTATGCAGGTACTTGGGCAATGATGTAGGGTTTGGTGTCGTCACTTGCATTATAGCAACAAGAGAGTGTGTATGGTTTGAGAATCAAGGTGAAGAATTTTGGAATTGTGTTTCTCAAACCGCTTTTTTATAAGTGGAAATGCGTTTTTATCCTTCTTGCACCCAGTCTGGATAGGTGGCACTCACAAATTGGCTGATACTTGGTCACACCAGTTGTGCATCTTTTGGCCTTTTTTGGACCATTGATCCCATCCAACAGTTGAGATTTTGTCTCTCAACCATTATTGGGTTTGGAGACTTCTTCGAGACTCTTCTCAATGCATTCAATCTTTTGGTCTTTGAGTCTCTTTTGAGTTTTTCTCTCTCTACTACGGCGTCTATTCTTCTTCTTCTTCTACTTCAATCTATTGATTGATAGTGAATTTTGTAATGATATTACAGTGTCTGATAATGATAGAAAATGTAGTGCAATGTTTTAGGCCTGATTTGTGGCTGGTAAATCTGTACTAAGTTCTTGTCAAGGATTTATCTAGTCGAGTTAGGTTAGGGTTTGTATTTTGCGAGATCCTTGTGGATCGATGACCATACGGGTGCCTAATTTAGTTTACTCACTCCGGTTGTACACTCTCTTTTGAAGGTTTTTTGCATAGCATCGGGCTTACCTCTGAGCCCCAATTAGGCCGTGTTTGGCTTATCTGGGTGAACAATCCTTTGTGTTTGATTATTTTCTTGCACTGTCCTTTACAATTTTTCTATTGTTTGTGGGCTTTGGGTCAATATACCCAACAACAAGATATCCATTTGGAGAACCAAAGAATCTTACCTGAGGCATTTGCCAAGAGTCTGGTATATCAAGCCTTGAAGCTGCAAAAATCTAAAACAAGCGATACAGTTAACGCCCCTAAATCTAATACAGCCCTCGCGCGCGCGCGCACATATATATATATATATATATATATAGAGACAGAGAGAGAGAAATACCTTTTTAGAGGGATTCATAAGGCAAATTCCGACATTTTTTCTGTAGCCTTGAGGAGGGTTTTCCATGGATGACAGCGATGACAGTGAAGAAAATGCAACTCCAGGAATTTTGTGGTGAAGAAGTGATGGAGTAAATTTGTGGGCTTTTGGAGGGCAATATGGGAAGAAAAGAATATTCGTATTGGCGGAGGTTCTACGCAGCAATGAACGAGAGAACGGGGAATGAAACTGGATGAAGCATCGGGCCATCACACAAGGCAAACATCCACGGGTAATGGTATAGTCACAGTCTTTCCAAATTTTAAGGTGATGTATTTGCAATTGAGGTCCCTAATTTGTGGTCATTGTGGCAAGTCAGTGTCCAATCGTTTCTTTGAGATTTGCGTCTCCGACATTTCACTTTTGGTTTTTACTACGTTCTCGTGTGGAGGGATTCTTATATTAGATAGTTAGGAGGGAATTCTACATCCAATAGTATCAATAGATTTATAGATAATTAAACCTTGATCAATCAAGCAAGAGTTAGTTAAGCAATTAATGATGTCTTGATTTACTGAGATGGTATGCGGAACTATCATTACTAGCCAACGTGCATTGCACATAATTTTTTATTTTTATTTTTGGTTAAA